TAGGCAGCGGGACTACCAGCTAGATTCACGTGACCTTGCGGACAAAGTTACGGAGGTAGAACTTGTTTTCACGACGACACTTGGACACAAGTACTTCTGTATTATTATTTTATCTCTTTTCAACCAATCCACAAGCCAAGAAGAGATGCGTAGACGGAAGAACCGTACTCTTGGTGATACTGATCGCAAACATGATTAATTCCTCCAAGCCATTGAACACCCAATTCTAAACCTTATCTAAGCAAAGCAGCATGCCAGTTCAAGAACATCTCGTCAGACATACATATCGATACATGTCTGGTGCACTCTCACTAACAAGCAGGCATCGCAGGCTACATTCGCACCAGCAATCAAAAGAAGTTGAAGTGAGTGAATATTTCTATAAAATTAATAATTGGAAGACAAATGAAGGTGTGGAGGATCGCCCAAAAACACTGACAAGGAGACAGTAAACGGTACACAGTACTCGTATGCATGTACTTATACACGTTATAGCAGCACAACGAGAAAGACCATGATGCATAATGTTGCATCAATAAAATTTTACAGAGTTATTTTGGGAGTAGAAATGAAGATGTGTTCGAAGCAGTAAACTGCGTAAGCACTACGTTGAGCCAGAATATTGAAATACAGTTTCCTGCAGTCAAAACAAGACACTCACACTTCTCTGGTCTAGTTCGCCATTCTTATCGATAAACATGACTTGATTTAATTTCTTACGATGGTCCTTGAGAATGGATCAATGATGTCTTGAATAGATGTCTTCCTGAACGACTTCAACTGAGAGGCAGTTTCAGTTTCAACAAGCTGGACATTGTTTTTCTGTGGAGTCTTCCACAAGAAAGACAGAGCTACACACACGAAGGTGCTTGATGTACTCAGTACCTTCTTGGAAATGAACATATTTTCATTTCCATCTTCATTATATTTTCGTCTCTGCATCGTCGACGATGTCCACTTCTGACTCCGTAATCTTGTCACCCATCCTCTCCAAAAACACAAATCGAGTGCTGCTTGCATGCTGGATCAGTTGAAGTCAGTCTCTGCTCTAGCAAGATCGGCATGCAAAAATTACATGACTGAAAATATTCCGAAATAGCTTTTCTGAACGACGAAGTTTGTTCTTCAAATATGATGAATAGCACAACCTACTAGCCAGAACGTCCTCTCAAAAGAGATTCTATCTGAAGCCTGCAAGATTTTCGACCACCCTTCGTTTTGGAGAGGAGCCCACACACACCAGACTCGAGCTACAAGTAAACTACGCGGAGATCGAGAGTTGATCGAAATCTTTCTTGCTCACTTCTGAAACCTGTGAAGGAAAAAAGTATGCTGAACGCGTGAATGCCGACAGTTGAGTCGTAATATTTTGACGTGGATCCTGTGACCGTTCACAGAGAAAGTCGCGGCTGTTTCTGACTGGTCATCGGGATTCAAACTGGTGTGTGACTTTATGACTGCTCTTCGCGGATTTGTGACTGTTTGATTGGTCACGGGGATCGTGATCGGTCATCGAGACGTGACTGCTCACTGAGTCCTACATATATTATAGAAGAATTTGCCGACATCACAGTGCCACTTCATGTGCTGGCAAATACTATAGTTTCCCTAAGTCTGCTTGCTTCAACGGTACTAGCAAGTGTGCACCGTGCCTGGTGATGGCATCGGTTTCTGTGAAAATGCTGGATTAACGCACTCTCCACATACAGGCATGCACCAGGCTCAGAACACATTGTTTTCTGGTTGGCATATCAGGGATATTGGGCGGAGCAGCTGGCGTGCATGAGAAAGACAGGTCGGCCTGCTCTGCGCAGGAGCTGTGACCCGGTGCACACATAGTGTGTGTGAGAGAGAGACAGACAGGTCGGCCTGCTCTGCGCAGGAGCTGTGACCTGGAGCACACAGAGTGTGAACGAGAGACGGTCGGCCTGCCGTGGGCAGGAGCTGCGACCGGTAGTGATTGAAATGAGCCAGCTGCGGAGATAGACTGCCCTCACCCGATATAAGTATATTGACAAGAGTTGTACTGACACTGTTATTGAGGAAATTATGGTGACAGTGACGGAGAGATAGTGATCCCCAGTCGAATGGGGTTGGGAGGGAAGGGGAAATTGACACTGACGGACAAACCAGTGAACAGTCAAGTCATCAGAAAGCAAAAGTGACAAAGGAGTCTCTCTTTTCTCCTTCTCTCTCTCTAAAGCAAGATTTGGAATGCATGCGTGGGAGAGTGGCGCGCGCTGCGCATGCGCATGTATAGCAATGACATCATAATCAGATGCATGATCATCAGACTAAGTATGAGTGGTAGATGTTCCACGTTCGTTAACAGGGCTTAGCGCACACGCTAAACCACCATTAGAAAACAGGATTCACCTGGCTAAGTGATTCTGTATAGAAACACATACTCTGATGGAGTGGAAAGACATGTGTATGTTGCCTAGTATACCGGCAATCATGGGTAAATAATACAACATGCAAATGTAATGTGTACCCTGCTGTGTATTCGTAACAGTGTTTCATGCATCTTGATCTTTGTTACAGCTGCAGTGGTGTGAGTACTGTGTGTCTGAATCGTGTGAATGCTGTGTGTTTGCTGCTTTGTCTCTTACAGGCAGTGAAGATCAGTACCCACTACCCTATACAACTGGAGATCATTCAGCCTGAGCCAAGTAAGGATGCATACGCTCTCGTCTAACACTGTATTGCTGCTCAGGGCTTTACTGTTGAAACCGGCAGTGTGTGGTGACGTATAGTTTGTAGCATTGAACACCCTACACAGCCACATGGGGATGGTCGCTAAAACTAGTATAGGTTGCTTACACCAGATTTTACTGTAGTTCCTCAGCATGCTGGTCCTTTACTCTATGGAGATGTTGCACATCTATAACATGACCATACAGGGTGGCCATGTTGGTTCCAACTCCACTCGACCCCTGCATATATGGGTATGGGTCACATGATATCAGCCATGTTGGTTCCAACTCCACTAGACCCCTGCATATTCTGGGTCACATGATGTCGGCCATGTTGGTTCCACTGTCCACATGAGAGTTATCACTGTGCTCTCTTCTTGAAATCAGTCATGGTTGGCTAGGTAACCGAAGGAGCACAGATACATGTCCTGTACTGCTCGATAATACTTCACTGTTTCAAAATGTTCCGGCCAGTATTTTTGTGGTTTTGAGTCCTGTCTTCCCTGCTACCTTTAATATGAGATCTCATTTCTCTGTGCTGTATTAATTCATGTACTCGTAGTCTCGTAGCAAAACACAAAACAGTACATGCTAGTACACAATCCATACATCCAGTAAAACTACTGTAGCAATCTTGTTTGGACTGTCACTACTGTGTTTGCTTGGGCATGGTATAAACTTCATGCATGTGTAATCCACTATAAACATGATATTCTTCTTTTGCTAAGACACATTCTAACATGGGATGTTATGTTGAATTTTTCCTTTTTTCAGGTGAAAGCAGACCAGTGCAGGTAAGATTGCATTGATATCATGCATTGGATGTATCCTGCAGTCAGAGTGTTGTGTGTGGGTCAAGTACGATGACATCACCATCGCCATACGTTGTATCTGTCCTGCAGTGTTCTAGTGTAGGGCATTGAGCATGATGACATCATCAACATGATACATTGCATGTGTCCTGTAGACCTGGACTCTGTGGATCGTATAGTACTAGTATAATACATAACGTTTTGTGTGTTGGCATAATTCTGCATCTGGGTATGTACACAGAGTACTCAACTGCTGTTGATGATGTACACCCATTGTACATCGTAACGTTGACTGGCATGACAGGAGTGTGATCATTTCACATTTTTAGACTGATCACTGCCGTATTCCGCAGCAAGAGTGCTCCTCTGAGTTTGGGTCTGTTCTCCCCTCACTGTGTTGGTGTGCTGTGTTGGTGTACTGTGCTGGTGTGACTGTGCTGGTGTGACTGTGTTGGTGTGACTGTGCTGGTGTGACTGTGCTCTGCCGTAGAGTACGATCAGTGAAGCTGCTCTGCTCAAGCTGTATGGCTACGGAGGTAAGTGAAGTGTGGTGTACAGCGACATAGGACAGTACTAACAACATGTTCACACACAAAAAAATACATACAACACAAAACAACATAACACACACACACACACACACAACACGCCTTTGACCTTTGACGCCCATCGCCGGAGGCGATCATAGCGATACCACGGCAGAAGCTATAGCAACTTGTTCTGGGATTGCACCATTCAACAGCTTGCAAGGCTTATGAATTGACCGCCACTATTCGCAACCCACACACACACACACACACACACACACACACACACACACACACACACACACACACACACACACACACACACACACACATACTTGTACGTGCTGACTGCCATAAATCGGTCACGTGGGTCTCCGGTGGGGGATCTGGGAAAGGTGACACGGCTTTGAAACACCCAACAGCTCTCCAGCCCGCTTAACAGCTAGCTACACCGGGCATGCACTACCCAAATAACTTGCACTGCACGTGGAGCATACGTGTACCGCTCGGCATGGTCATCAAGCTCGCGCTAAGCTTCTCGAATTTCCAGGTACGTGATCAAAGCTTCGGTTAGGTGGGATCTTTAGTAGATGTTTGGTTAAAGTCTTCAAGATAAACTGGCACTAGTCCAAGCCAGTCAACTGACAGCAGCTAGTCAGCTAGACTGGTGTGGACTGGTTCCATGACCCTTGTCCAATTATCATATTTTGGATGGTGCTTTGTCGGCGGTGGGGGGAGGGGGTGATGGGATACCTTCAGTTGTTGGCAGTAGAATGTTTCCATGTCACACACTAAGAGTGTAACGTATTATGTATTGCTGGAATGACAACTACACCATGGCTTAGTGAAAGCACTTCAGCAGCCTGTAGCAAAGGTCCGGGTTAGAGCTCTGGTGGTGACAAAGGTCCGGGTTAGCGTTCTGGTGGTGGCGCTCATTTTTTCTTTAAATTACCACACAGCGAAACCTGTCAAAGGCGACTACTCAAGTGACCGTCAATATAGGATCCCTTTGTACAGGTGGTCTTGTCCAGTGCCATTTGGCATGGAAATAACATCCTGATTGTAGTGGTGCTCTGGGACAGGCGATCTCCTTATCAGAGTGGTTGCCTAGACAGTTTTAACTGTGATTAAATGCTGCAACACAGAGTGTGTCACTCCATATCAACCGGCTCTCTAGCTTGTTGGCGAGTGGAAGTGGAACTTCACCATGCCTTGTCAGTCCAGCCATAGAGGTGTGGCAAGGTAGCCTGTAACACGCTGAGCATTAGTTTCGTCTAGTACACTTCTAAGTGTAACTTATTGAGTTAGAAGTATATGCCATTCTTGTCGAGTCCGTAGCAAAACTGTAGGGAATGCAAGCAGAAGTTGATGCAGGAATGTTGCTCTGATTACATCCAGGCTGGGCGTTGATCAGCTATTCTGCCCAATTGTGCCTTCTTCCACAGGTTGAACCTGATGGTCAGTGTGCTGCGGACTACGTCATTGTCATCGACGGTCTGGTGACCAAGGACATATTCAGCCTGGCGCCAGCGAAGGTCTCTGCCCTGGAGCTCTCTCAGAACACGCTGCCAAACACCATTCACCAGCGCCGCCAATCAGATTGGTCTAGGGTTGTCGAGTGACTACACTAACACCAACAAGGGATTCACCGTCTTCTATAAAGCTGTTGGTAAGAACAATGACTCTATACTCATGCGTGTACATGTATAGTGAAACCTGTGATATACAGCCACTGTGATAGGAGACCACCTGTCTGAAGAGACCACCTGTTTACAGAGACCATGCTTCTCAGACCCTATACCTAGCTTCAGCATGCATTGCTGACCTGTGTGAAAAGACCACCTGTCATTAGAGACCGGTCACCTCTGGTCCCTGCGACAGACCATGCAAAGATTTACAGTGTGACCTGTGCTGAAAGACCACCTGTTTTTATATTTCGTGCGAACGGATTCACGTGACCATACAGGACTCTAGATGTGGACTATTGACGGCATACCAGTATTTGACTCGGGTCAACTGTCTTCATGTAAACGCTGACCTATTTTGTCTATCGTACAGACTTTCATCCCGGGCTGAACTCAACCCGGGTTGAAATTTCTCATGTAAACACAGCCTGAGTGACTCCAAACTTATCCTGACAACAGATGTGCAGCACACTTGGAAGCAGAAGGGTTTGTCAACCGTACTGGGACCAACAGTAATAGAGAACTTGGTTTGAGAGTAGCAAAGAAACTTCTCGCCAGGCAACTCCATGTGAGGGGCTGAGGTAAAAAAAGGTGGGAAATGGCTGGGAGAACTATCTTCTCACCATGCTACTCTACTAGTAGCATTCCATAGTGCAGTGTATCAAGTATGACATTGTAGATCAACACTGTTAGTACAGTTTGATTTGTGAAACTTTGTACAAAGTAACATTCCCCTTCCAAAGTGCTGCTACAGCTCATGTAGTATTTCCTGTTCAGTATCCAACACTGTACTCACATCCACTCTGGTCTGCTGTTGTTATTCCCCGCAGGGCATAGACTTTGATACCTCCCGTCACATGGCTGGCTCGACACGCCTCCACTGTCTCATCCACTACGCCGGCTCGGTGGGTTTGGACATACAGGAGCGTCTAGTCGAGTAGTATCTGCTCAAGATCCACTTCAAGGATGCACACAACGTCAATGACGTGGATGTCCTGCTGGAGGCAGCTACAGAGGTAACGTGATGATCACTTTGAGTGACGATTTGTTTGATCACAGGGATATCTAACTATAACTTGTGTCGTGGTGATATAGAGGTATAATTATAGTGATGCAGTGTTTGTTTGATCACAGGGATATCTACAGTTTATTCCCGTAGCTATGCAGAAGACGTTACTTCAGTAACGTCTGGCGCTAGCCAGGGTCCACACAGCTTTAATTTGGTGTTTGTGTGTTTGTGTGTTTGTGTCACGCCTGGAGCTACCGTATCTGTCCCGTATCTGTGATTTGGTGTTTGTTTGTATGTGTGTTTGTGTCACGCCTGGAGCTACCGTATCTGTCCCGTATCTGTGATTTGGTGTTTGTTTGTGTGTTTGTGTAACGCCTGGAGCTACCGTATCTGTCCCGTATCTGTGACTACAAAGGTTCTACAGGATTGTACATAACAGCTGGCCACAAACAGCTGGCCACAATATTCGTCGTATTATGTATACGACTCCCTGATGTAGAGGGAGATTTGGAAAGACAATTAATAGGGAGACGAGGAGGAAATAAAATTAGAATGGACGCTAGATGCGGAATAGGTGATAGGATGCGTCAGCAAAAACATACTTTGGAAGAGAGATCCTTTGGAAGAGAGATCCCGTCGTCTCCAAAATAAGCGTGAACGGGCGATTCAGCGCCGGTCACAGGAAACGTCGGAAGAGAGATCCTGTCGACTTCAGAACCGGTCCCAGGAAACGTCAGGACAGACGAAGAATCGACTCCACAATAAGCGTGAACGGGCGTTTCAGCGCCGGTCATAGGAAACGTCGGAAGAGAGATCCCGTCGAGTCCAGAGCGCCCGTGATCGGCAGAGTCAGCGCCAGTCACAGGAAATGTCAGGACAGATTACTCGTCGACTCCAAAATAAGCGTGAACGGGCGATTCAGCGCCGGTCACAGGAAATGTCGGAAGGGAGATCCCGTCGAGGCCAGAACGCCCGTGATCGGCAGAGTCAGCGCCGGTCACAGGAAACGTCAGGACAGACATCAGGACATGTTTTGCCTAGCTCATCGTACATGTTACTAGAATTGATGGAAATGTTTTTTTCCGTTGATTGGCTACATCATTGTATTGCATAAACGTTTGAATCAGTTTGAATATGAGTTAGGCAAAAGTATTTGCAGAATATTATTGCGGATTGTTATTTTTCTCTCATTTCATCCGTTTTCGGTTTGCTCCTTCTTTTCCGTTTTATCTCCTTAAAATCGGATTTTCTGACCTTTTTACATTAAAAGCATAGCGTAGGGCCCTGAGCTTCCAAGCTCTCTCATTTCATAACCATAGACGCGTAGGGTTTTTGAAATATTTCAAATTTGGCTGGAACTTTTGGAGAATAGTTTTCGGAATATTGCTCAGGTCCGCTCCACAATTACTCTCATATAGTTTCTAAACGATTGGATCAAACGCCCAATTTGGAAAAATTTATGCACAAAGTGATCACAGATTTTAAGTGGTATAGATGCTGGCATAACGGTTTTTGCCTAGTTACGCGTCTATAGTTTTGAAATGGACTGTAGCTATAAGCTGTGTACTGGTGATATAGAGGTTATGCGATTACATCATCAGTTGAGATGCTTGGACAATGTCGCAGCACAGCGATGCACTAGCAACTCACAAGCGACTCACTAGCTGAATACATAGCGACTCACAAGCGACTGACTCTCTGATAACTTCTTATTGTGCCTACTTTTCCCCGTAATCCCCAGTTATCTACCCCCCCCCCCCCCAGGCCCTGCGTATTTTCTGTAATTGTTTGTTTTTGTAGAGCGCTTGGGTTGCAATGAAGCCGAGACCCTATGGTTGGTCAAGCTGCCCCTGCCTCTCCCCCACTCCTGCCATTCCATATGTCTCATCGCTGCCTTACTGCTTTGTGCCGTCAAATGGTGTGTGGTTTTTTGTAAAAAATAAACGAGAGAGCTTGGAAGCTCAGGGCCCTGCGCTATGCTTTTATGCTTTTTTGCCTAGCTCATCGTACATGTTATAAGAACTGATGGGAATGTCTTTTTCGTTGATTGGCCACATCACTGTATTGCAAAAACGTTTCAATCGGTTTGCTTATGAGTTAGGCAAAAGTATTTGCAGAATTTATTGCGGATTGTTATTTCTCTAATAATCATCTACTTTTGTTTTGCTCCTTCTTTTCTTTTTATCTCCATATATTGTAAATCAACAAATTTTGGCCGATGAGAAATAGAAACCTCTCTATTAGAGAGGTTAAGATGCACGTTATTTCCGACGTGACGCGCAGTTTCACGTCAAATTTGAAATCGATCGGTATTTTTGCTCTCACATGCATCCATTGCTCAATCATGCATCATTTGCCTATATGACAAACGTTGGCCTGCGATTTACTTTGGCCGGTTGGTACCAAGCGGCGAAATCAGCGAAATTAAATCGCCAGCGAACATTAGTTGATTTTAATACAGTGATCGGATTTTCTGGCCTTTTTGTAGTAATACATGTGCATTGACCTGTTGAGCCAATGACGACGCCGAATGCATGGTTGCCTGTGGAGCACATCACATAACTTTACAGTCTCCTAAAATACGTATCCTGTCCGACGGCAAAAGAGGCTGCAGATTTAGTTTTTCTGCGCGTCGACGGGATGTCTGCGACGCGAAAGTTCAGCTCGCGTTATTTGGCTCGCACGTCGAAAAATCAACGCGAGTGACCTGCTGCTCACGTCGAAATTTGGACATTACATAAATTTACAGTCTCCTATATAAAAACGTATCCTGTTCGACGGCAAAAGAGGCTGCAGATTTAGTTTTTCTGCGCGTCGACGGGATGTCTGTCCTGACGTTTACTGGGACCGGCGCTGACTCTGCCGATCACGGGCGTTCTGGACTCGACGAGATGTGTGTCCTGACGTTTCCTGGGATCGGCTTAGACTCTGCCGATCACGGGCGTTCTGGACTCAAAGGGATGTCTGTCCTGACGTTGCCAGGTACCGCCGGACTCTACCGATCACGGGCGTTCTGGAGTCAACGGGATCTCTCTTCCGACGTTTCCTGTGACCGGCACTGAATCGCTCGTTCACGCTTATTTTGGAGACGACGGGATCTCTCTTCCAAAGTATGTTTATGCTGACGCATCCTATCACCTAATCGGCGTCTATTCTAATTTAATTTCCTCTTCGTCTCCCTATTTCTTTCCAAATCTCCCTCTACATCAGGGAGTCGTATACATAATACGACGAATATTGGTACGGTACGGGACAGATACAGGAGCCCGCAAATATTGTGGACAGCTGTTATGTACAATCCTGTAGAGCCTTTGTAGTCACAGATACGGGACAGATACGGGACAGATACGGGATAGCTCCAGCCGTGACACAAACAAACAAACAAACAAGCAAACAAACAAACAAACAAACACCAAATTAAAGCTGTGTGGACCCTGGCTAGCGCCAGACGTTACTGAAGTAACGTCTTCTGCATAGCTACGGGAATAAAAATAAACTCACTAGCTGAATACATAGCGACTCACTAGCTGAATACATAGCGACTCACTAGCTGAATACATAGCGACTCACTAGCTGAATACATAGCGACTCGCAAGCGACTCACTAGCTGAATACATAGCAACTCACTAGCTGATTACATAGCGACTCATAAGCGGTTCCACTGACTCATCACCATGACATCATTCGTATACCCTCTATAGGCCCTAGAGGCTATAGGCTCTATAGGCTCTATAGGCTTTATAGGCCCTATACCCTCTATAGGCTCTATAGGCTCTATAGGCTTTATAGGCTTTATAGGCTCTATAGGCTTTATAGGCTCTATAGGCTCTATTGGCTCTACGGGTAAACAACTTTTCTTTTTTCTTTCTTTTTACTTCAAAAGTGAGGACAAAAGACTTTAAAAGACAAATTTAGCAAACACAACATGGTGTGTGGAGGGGTCGGTGCGGGGTGAGGAGGGAGGGAAGATGTTCGAACTTGGCATATGCGACACGGCACTCTGTTGGCTTGTGGATTACCTCTCTGATAGAGAACAGTACGTTCAGGTTGGCCAGACTAGAAGTCTCCCGTACACCAGTTACTCAGGAGTCCCCCAGGGGTCGGTACTGGGCCCACTGCTATTTATTGCCTATGCCCGCGGCATAGCAGAAGAACTATCGCCGTTTAATGTGGGAGCAATCCAGTTTGCTGATGGCATCTCTATACGATGTAGCGAGGAGTCTCCGGAAGCTGTTTCTGTTTCTGCCACCTGGCTGAAGGGCCGAGGTTTAATTCTTAATAAAAGAAAGGCACAGATATTGCCTATTCCGGTATTGCCCCCATCCCCATCTCAAGCACTTGAGCTGCATGTCATTTGTAATGGGCAGACGCTGCCTGTTGTGAAAACGGCCAAGTATCTTGGCCTACATTTCGACTCAGACATGAGCTGGAACACCATGACAAGCCATGTTGCACGCCGCGTTGCCTCTAAGATTGGGCTACTAAATCAAAGTGCAGCATGTTTGCCTTTTTCTTGCCGTGTTCAGTTTTTCAGGTCCTTTATATTATCAGAATTTGACTATGCATCTGCTGCCTATGCCCCTTTCTTATCGTCTTATCAGGATAAGCGCCTAAATAGTTTGTTCAAATGTGCGGCTCGCTCGGTGTGCAGGGCAGCCCCTCGGACTCAAACGGCTACCTTACTTGAACGCAAGAACGCCCATACCCTCGGCACATACACCCACATGCACATTCTTGTATTCATTTCGCGCTGCCTGAACAAATTTTCAAGTACTCTGTTTGCAAGCTTTTTGACCCGTAGTCCCTGTCTCCGAACACGAGGAGGGAGCAGCAAGTTACTCATCATTCCTGTGTCCACCACTGCATCCTCAGCTAAGCGCATTAGCCATGCTGGAGCTATCCTGTGGAACCAGCTCCCAGACACAGCACGTCTCGAAAGAAAGCGCTCCGCTTTCAAATCGCTAAGCCTGGCCTTTCTGTTAGGCAGTACCCTCAACTAGGATGAACTCATCTGCTTCACTACCTCTTTCTCTCTTTCTCTCTTTCTCTCTATCTCTCTCTCTCTCTCTCTCTCTCTCTCTCTCTCTCTCTCTCTCTCTCTCTCTCTCTCTCTCTCTCTCTCTCCTTTCTTCCCGGTTGCCGTGCTTGTGACTTTTTTCCCTGCTGCCGTGCTCATAATAGTTATCTATCTTCTTCTTTGTTCTGTTTGTCCGCTTATTTTTATGTATTTTTCTTATTTTTCTTTTCTCTTATTATCAGTGGGACCATTGTCATTACTCATTAGGTTTAGGCCTGTTTTGGAACTCCACTCTAAATAAAGCCAAACAACAACAACAACAACAACAACAACAACAACAACAACAACAACAACAACAACAACAACAACAACAACAACAACAACAACAACAACAACAACAACAACAAGATCGGACAAGAGATGGAGATGGGAGAGTCCTTTGTACCTCAGTGAAGACAGCTTCATATCAGCATTACTGAGGCACTTTGACAGTAGGAATAGTTGATCGTAAGTGGGCCATGGGACAGGAGAAAGCTCAGGGCTTGCTGAAAGGAATTTGAGAAAGATGAGAAATTAAGGAATATCTAGCCTCCTTCAAGGCACCTCCAAACCTTCAAGGTCAACGTATGTAAGGATCTAATCTGAAAGAGATGGCTGTGGTCCACACAGTACCTGTGGCGATGATATTGAGACCCATTTACCTTTCTACTAGTACTTTGCTTGTTATGATTCTTGTTTTCTTTTTTCTTTTTCCCTTCCAGTTTAGTTATTACATGTATTTATATTATTTGTTGCAATATTTGCGCCCCTTTCTCGCACCAAATCATTATTTTGCTACTTGACCATGCCCCCCCCCTTGGTTTTTCGATGCCAGGTTGCAACGCTAACGCCGAGACCTCTGGTCGGTCGAGTTGCTCCCTGTACATCGGCACGTCGTCCCTACATCCCCTGTGTCTTGTTTTGAGTGTTATCTCCACATATCTCTTTGTAGGGCTGTGTTCCCAGTAAAAGAAAAAAAAAGAAAAGAAAAAAGGAATGGACTCGGATGGAGAGCCAAAGATGTGAAAGAAAGGCCCAAAGTGTTACATATCATTCGTAGTTTCTCCAGCACTAAGCCGTGGGGAAGGACCACACTAACACTAAGTGGGCCTTCCAAGTTGGGTGTTTGTCGTTTCGCGTTCTCGAAGCGACCCGCGGCCATCCTGTGCCGTGGTCCTTCATCTTTCGTCGCCATCTCGTCAAAGCTAGCATTCTTAGTTCTCTGTGATGTTCAGCTTGTTTTTTTGTCTTGAGTGCGCTCACCTTCCCCTCTCTTATGTTATTTCAGAACTTAGAACCTTCCGAGTTGGAAGGCTGTTGGTTTGCGCATTCGAGTAATGATTTTTGTTTAAAAAAAAACATCAGTTCATTGAATGTCAGTACCAAATCAGTGTGTATTGTGCTAACTGTTGCACCTTCTGAATCCACAGTATAATCTTGCTTATACAGTGTGGTTGGGCAAACTACGGATAACATGTAACATTTTGATCCTTTATCATAATTCCCAGGGGTTTGTACTTTTAATGTTGTTTTGTACTGGCAGGTTGGATTGGAGCACGCAGCCAGCAAGGCTGCAATGGAAGATTCCAAGCTCAAAGAGAAAGTCTGGGTAGAGCATCAGAGGGCGCGCAAAGAGCTCGGCGTCAAGGACCTGCCGTTTTTCGTCTTGTCGCTAAAGGGTCACTCCGACGAGGGGCCGCCAAGGTCCTTCAAGCACGATGAACCAGCCGCCTGTCTTGTGGCCTGCATCGATGAGCTGCTCGCCAAACACCAGGGCAATGGTGTCCAGTAAAACAGTCACTGCATGCTGTATACCAGCAATGGCCATGAAAACAAACCGGCCCATGTCAGTAGAACTCTATGATGCTATGTGTTATGTGGAGCAAGAACTTGCCTGATCTGAACAGTGGACGTAGCTATGGCATAGGTTTTCCTGCCAGCACATGTATGGATTTGGTGAACTGATGTCTGAACGATTTTTGGAGACTCTCTCCCATTGCTTGCCAAACAACACACTTGATCTAGAGTACTGAAGCAGGTATGTAGCTGCTGAGTGCCATGTCTCACAGTTTATTCTCATTATTCGTTGTCTTTGTGAAGAAACAATTACCAATATGCAGAATGATCATGCAAACGGTAGAGTGTAGGAGTTCTGGTGAAAATACTGATCCATCCACTCTAAGTAGTTTATTGCTTGATAATTGTATTAATAGTTTTAAAAAACTATACATGCTTTTAACCACACGAATCACAAAACTTTTCTCACGGACGATCAAGGGTCGCTATTGGGAAGGTTGACTGTACGTAGAAAACTGGATGAAAGCGAACCGGAAAGGCGTTACGCTGTCCGCCGTGAATTCCGCTATTCCGCGGATTGCAGAATTTCCGCAGAATCCAATAGTGCCCGCAGAGTTCAGAAAATCCCGCGGAATATTGTAGAAAAGAGAGAAAATTGCTTTTTCTGGAGACGTTTGATGTATTTCACAGCCAAATCAACCTGCTTGTGACTTTCGAAATACACTTGCACGGTGCATTTTGGAGCTTTCAATTTTTGACCAGGATTTCGCATAATTTTGTTTCAGAATTTATAGGGACAACAAACTTTGGTGGGGTTGCGGAAATTCAATCTGTTTCTACAAGTTACACGCGGTTGTCGAAAATTGACATCAATATTTTTTAATTATTTTATTTTAATGCGTTTTACCTGCAGAAAAGGTAGGTGGGTGGGAACTGAAAAATACTTAACCTTTTCGTTTTGCAAAAACTATTGGTAACCCCGGACGGCCCCTAACACCCGTGGCAATGACAATTGGAAATATGTTGTGCCGCTAACTCGGTGAATATGTGGCGACAGCCGACCATTGGTTTCCGCCGCGAAGCTTTTGAACACTCTGCCACAGGAGCTCACTTCCACTCGTCGTCCAACCACGTTAAGATTGCTGGAAGTGTTTTCTATGGTTATTATAGCCGAATAGCACCTCCCTCTGGCATCGGTCCTCATTTTCCCATCTCTCTCTGATTGTTAATTCTGTTTTCTGTGTGTGTGTGTGTGTGTGTGTGTGTGTGTGTGTGTGTGTGTGTGTGTGTGTGTGTGTGTGTGTGTGTGTGTGTGTGTGTTTGCAAGCTGTGTAGCAGTTTTCAGTTCACTGTTACTTCACATTTTGGTCACACAAAGGCTGCTATACATGTACACATATGAGAAAAATTGTGCGATTGGAATGGGTGGAGATTTTTAAAGTCCTGCTTGGAAGCAAGTTCTTTTTATACCGCAGTATTTGACTGCCTTGTGGTGGGTTTGATCCACTTCAGTCTGACGACTCAGTGTCACACAAATCGTGAGAAACTGCAACAAAGATTACCGTAGAATCCCGCGGATAAGCCCACCCGGACCCGCATACCGTATAATCTCTAGTATAAGCACGGTCCTTTATTTTTTCAATGTACCTCCGCCCTGTGCTATTAATGGAGACGTTCCTGTATTGGAGACTGTTCCATTATTATTTCAACCTCACTTCAGAGGCATGTTGCCATGCCAAATTCATGTCAGACACACACATTTCAGGGGTGTTTTCGCCGGTACTGCATTATAGAGATACATGTAAAACGGTACATGCATTTTACCAGGGACCGATAGACAGTGGGCTTATAATGGAGACTGAGCACTTTATTTTTTGAATGCCGCCCCAAGGTGTTCTATTATTGGAGACTGTGCTTATATTAGAGATAATACGGTATAAGCCTCTTTTTATACGGGCAAAATTTAAATAAACTACATATTAGAGCAAGACTTGATAAGAACAATTACAAAGCTTTAAAGACAGTCAGTGCAGTGCGTACATGTTTGTTTGAGTGCTACGCCGCGGCACATGCCACAGTTCAGAAATGCAAATTGCACTCAGCAGCCACCAGTTCGGTCGATGATGGTTGACCTGCTGCAACTCTGCTCCGGGACCGGTGTCTAGCCCTTTCCCAAAGGTGCTCGCCCTTTTTTCCGCCCTTCTTGGCCCTTTTTGGAAAAAGCCCATTCCTTTCGCCCTTTATTGCGTTTTTTTTGGTGAATATCGCCCTTTTTGAGCTTTTTAGCTGAAAAGTGCTAAAATCTGTTTGCTCATGCATGTGATCACAGTTTCTGAGTGCTCGATGGGCTTTGGCATGCCGCTTTTTTGGGGACAAGTTGGTGAAGCTTGTACACAATGCTGTAAAAAGTGGGTTTTTTGAACTTTACTTCCTGTTTTGCCTTTCGTGGACCCATAAATGGAAGAGTGCGTATTCATTTCTCAGCTTGGGTTCATATCTGAACATGTATCATGGCTATGCTTCACTGAAAAAAGAGCACTTTTTGCCTGTTTTCATTGAAAAAAGAGCACTTTCTCAGTATATTTTGAGGGACGCGAAAAGCACTAAGTGCGAATTAAAAGAGCACCTTTGGGAAAGGGCTACCGGTGTCCTCGGAGGGCCATAATGGCCGAGCGAAGAAGGGCGAACCCCAACCTGCATCTGATCCATGCTATTGTGATGGAGTTAGGCTCATTCTTCTTGTTGCTGATGATAAGTCCGAGCCGCTTGTAAAGGGCAGTTGCCGCCTTGCCTTGGCCTCCGGTGGCACTGAATACGAGGGGAACGAAGGTGGCATGCTCCACCTCGCGAACACGCTCCTCATAATGCCGACGCTTCTCACGCTCATGTTTTGCGTAGGCGGCGAGGATGGACCCGCGTATAAGCCCATGCCCGCGCATAAGCCCAGGGTTTGTTCGAACATCACAAAGCTTCATCGAACAAGCCCATGGGCCTAGGTCATACCGAGAGTCCATAAATTATGGACTCTCGGCCATACCATGTACGTAGTACATGCACATAGTTTTTTTGGTATATTTCAGCACAACCATCGGTTGTTTTTGTTTGCACAGTGGTTTTCAGCAATGTACTTCTCACTTCCTTGATACTTTTTAATAGCACTTTTTAATAGCACAATGTCGGTGTTGGCGTATAAGCCCATGCCCGCGTATAAGCCCATGTTCTCGTATAAGCCCACTGAAATGTCCTTGTGAAACGGATAAGCTCATGGGCTTATCCGCGGGGTTCTACAGTACTAGCATTGCACTAGTACATGTACATGTATTGGGTTATATAATACTGGTAGTAACAACATGTGTAGCATGAACACTGGTCAGACAAGTGACTGAATTATTATTATTTATTTTAATGATTATGAATCCGAGATCGAGAGGGCATGATTTTACACAAAATAATTACGGACTGTCAGTTACAAGCTTCACCTGTACTGCTGTAGTCGTGTGTAGATCTACCAGTCCGTAGTCGAGCAGGCAGCATGATCATCATACATAAAGTCATAATGGGTCGGTGCCAGCCTGTCAGGGCCAGGCCCAGGCCAGGGGCAGGCAGGATGTTCTGCGATTACAGAATGATGGTTTTTAGGAAATGACAGACACAGTCGTTCAGAATGATAATCTATATATGCGCTAGTGCTAAGAAATGACTTTAAATTAAACAATTAAAAATTATTTTGTTCCTTTTCAAGGCTCTACTACAATTGTATACTCCTCTAGCTTGAGTCTTGTCTGTCTTGAACTAAAAGTAGTTACTTGAAGTAGTTTCTTGTTGACCTACGTGAATGGTTTGGCATGGATCACGTTACTCTCTGTGGCTTGTGTAGGTTCTACCTGCACTGCAGTCTGCATTTAATTTTTGCTCATCTCATGTGATCAGGGTCCTAGGCCGGGATCGACCGACTACTGTTTCTGCGCCTCTAGCTCTGGACACTTGTCGCTGTACTGGGCGTGCACCCGTCCACCTGGGTCCCTGAGCCAGTGCCGGAGCCGACGCGCACGCCGGTCCGGCTGGTCCTGGCTTGAGCGAGTGGCAATCATTCAGCCTTTCCTCACTACCTCAGTCCTCAGGGCAGGCCACTTATGACTTACTTCATGACCCAGAACTAACCATTGCTAGCTGTGGGTGGAAAAATAATCCGTGATTGATTGTCGGACCTTGGACATAGCGTCCGTCTCGTGACAATGGAGCGCAACCTGCTTTCTTCTCGCGCGCTCGCGGGCATCCTGCTGCTGCTTTGCCGCTATTGTGGACTAGCGGCAGGGTCGTTCTCGCTAGGGATAGGCTCATTCAACGTGAAGAACTTCGACTCGGCCAAGTACGACATGTACAGCGATATCTATAGCGGGGTGAGTAGGAGCAGGGTGTGTGTCTGCCATTACATGGACATGTACGATCATGCACACGTTGATCCTAGACATGAAGCTCAAGACATGAAATCAGTTACTTCCTAGTACAAGAACGATACAACCATCTTCACTGACTTCAGTGTGTGGAGGCTCCACTGCAGCTGGTTCATAATACAATACTGCTGAATAAAATGCGATGGAATGACTGAAGTATGCGCAGGGCCTCGCGCAGCCCTAGACCTGCGAACACTGGGCTGAGAAAATGGTGCAAGGCGCAAGCTTGACTCCCGTTATGGTATTTCATTGGGCAGCACTGTACAAGACATGTGTGGGTATGTTGCCAACCGGGGACTCGCTAATGTATAGTGTGTGTGTGTGTGTGTGCTGCTGATTGAAATCTGATGTCATGAGTAAAGTACACACCTGGAGCTGTGTAACTCTAGACCTGAGAACACTGGCATGTTCTCTAGTACATTACTCAAAACTGACTCATTCCATCGGATTTCATGGAGCAGCACTGTACTTGGGTCAGGTCATAAATTTATAATGCAATGCATACAGATAATGAGCCACCGTCCGCCCACGTCGTTTTGTAAATGTTTCATCATTATAAATGTTAGAGTCAAATACAACCCTAGCTACCTATGAAAGCTGTTGTGCACTTTTTTTTGTGATATTTACCAACTCACTGTTGCTGCTTGGCACTTAATCTGCCATCCAGGTATAGTGCTCAGCATGGTGGTGGCCTGGCACATGCCAAACTTCCTAAGCTGGTTGTTTTTCTCAACAAAATTGTGCATCTAGTGGTAAAGGGGATGTGCCACCTTTTTTTAAACTTCTGTAGCACATCGTAGTGCATTTAAATTTGCATGTACTATTTCAAGGAAACCCCAAGGACAAACACATGAAGGCAAAGGGTATTTTCTGCCGCCATGTCTCAGAATGTCGGGGTACTTGCAGCGACAGCGGCTCCTTATAAGGAAAGGAATGGAGGCCGAGAAGTAAAACAACTCAAACGTTGTAGTCTTCTGGCAACTGAGCGAAGTGATTACTTCTCAAATCAGTACATGGT